CTGAATGTGAAAAAAGTGAAAAAAGATTTAGAAATATGGTCAAATTTGAAGCTTTCACTGCTAGGCCGTATCGCTGCAATAAAGATGAATGTATTGCCAAGAATGTTGTTTTTGTTTCAAACACTGCAAATTGTGGACAAAATGGACTGTTTCAAGAAGTGGCAGAGAGACATTTCCAGATTTGTCTGGCAGGGCAAGAAGCCCAGAATAAAATTCAAAATACTAACGGATGCAAAAGAAAGAGGTGGATTTGCCCTGCCAGACCTTAAACTTCACTATGAATCAGCCGCATTTTGTTGGCTGAGAGAATGGCTGCTTCTTGAAAACACAGACATTTTGGACTTAGAAGGTTTTAACAATGTATTTGGGTGGCATGCATATTTGTGGTATGATAAGGTCAAAGCACATAAAGCATTTAAAAACCATATTGTCAGGAAAGCATTGTTTAATGTCTGGACAAGATATAAGGATCTACTTGAAAATAAAACTCCAAGGTGGCTGTCACCGATGGAAGTGAAGGCTCTGAAAAAGCTCAATATGGAGGTCAAGTGGCCAAAATATTGGGAAATTCTGGAACAAGAGGGAGATAAATTGAAATTGCAGAGCTTTGAAAAACTAAAAAATAAAGTGCGAGATTGGCTTCATTATTATCAAATAATGGAGGCATACAATCTGGACAAGAAAATTGGCTTCCAGGTGGAAAAATCAAAATTGGAAACAGAACTGTTAGATCCTAAAGTTAAGAATTTGTCAAGAATGTATAACTTGCTGTTGAAATGGAATACTCAAGATGAAACAGTGAAATCTGTTATGATTAAATGGGCACAAGATGTTGGACATAACATTATGATGGCTGACTGGGAACAGTTATGGGCCACAGGTATGAAGTTCACGGCATGTAATGCCTTAAGAGAGAATATTATGAAAATGATATACAGGTGGTATATGACACCAGTCAAGCTTGCAAAAATTTATCATTTGCCCGATAATAAATGTTGGAAATGTAAAGAAACTGAGGGTACATTCTTTCACCTTTGGTGGACGTGCCCAAGGATTAAGGCTTTCTGGGAGATGATCTATAATGAAATGAAAAAGGTATTTAAATATACCTTCCTGAAGAAACCAGAGGCCTTTCTCCTGGGCATAGTCGGCCAATTGGTGCCAAAGAAGCATAGAACTTTTTTTATGTATGCCACAACAGCAGCAAGAATTCTTATTGCAAAGTACTGGAAGACACAAGATCTACCCACCCTGGAAGAATGGCAGATGAAGGTGATGGACTATATGGAACTGGCGGAAATGACTGGCAGAATCCAAGACCAGGGAGAAGAGTTGGTGGAAGAAGATTGGAAGAAATTTAAAGACTATCTACAGAAATACTGTAAAATTAATGAATGTTAGAATGATGTTGGAATGAAGCTAAGGGGTTTTTAGTAGTAATGCTACAAGGAGTATGTAAAAATGGACTGTTAACAGATGATAATATACAATTATTATATATTAAGACAAAGGTCTAAGATAAAAACAAAGAGGGAAAGGATTTGCTGAATTAACTTACTGAACTGGAATACAAAAAAGGGGAGGTGTGAGGAGGTCAGGGAAACAAGTGAGTGAAAGACAAGATATGGAAAGATTGATTTGTTTTTAATTGTTTTTACTTTTTTGTATTTTGTATTTTTTTCCTTCTTTTTTATTCTTTCTTATTATTACTATCGTAACTCTTTTTTTATTTTTGAAACTTTAATAAATATCTTATAAAAAAAAGAGAGAGATGTTGCAAATGCTGGTGTGTGCAGATGGAGGCAATTTGGCCATATTTAGGATGTGCATCAAAGTTTCTTTAAAAATTGTGGTGGGGCAGCCTACCAGCAGTGACAGAGTTCCATCAGCCCCACTCCCTTTTATCAGCACATTCAGCCCAACCCTACACAAAAGGATTCCAGTGCATGAGCAGCTGCAAACACTGGAGATGGAGCTGATCGTGTACCTGAGGTTGAGTATGGGGCCACTGGCTGTGCCCTGGTTTTCCTTATCCACACATACATTCTACACATGAAGTCTCTCTGTGTGTTGTGTCTTTGCACGCTTCTTCCTTTTTCTTTTCATTGCAGCTTTATTCTAGCTTGTTGTTTCCTCTCACACACTCCTTGTAGACACAGTGATAGCAAAACCCTACAGTGCCATCCTGTGGATAAATTATGCTAATTGTGAAATTGCAACTGGAGAAACTCAAATTCCCTCTATTTTCTCTTAAAATATATATCACATTTTATTTGCCTGGGTATAATTTTACAACATAACCAAGTTCATTAAAAAGACAGGAATGAGTGTGAGCACTTGGTGTGTTTTATGTCTTCAAAGAGCTTTTTTTTTTGGCATCCACTGCAGAAAGCCAATAAACAACTCCAGAATATGTACAATATAGCTTCCTCCTCCCAAAAATATTCTTTAGTTTTCTTTATTTATTTAAAGGCATGCAATAGTAGCAATCTTTAAAGATAGATGAAATTTCCCAAAGGGCAAATCTTGTTCTAGTTTGAGATGCATATAAATTTTGCCATGTACTTTGCTTGTTGTTATCTTGTTGCATTATAAGTAGCTTTTTTTAAAGCATACTTGTGTGTGTGTGTGCGTGCGCACACACACACACACACACACACACACACACAAATATCTTATTCCTTCCAACAGGTAATGAGTGTCAATGGGATTGCAACCAAAAAATGAGGGAAGTGTCAGCATGCTTGAAAAAACCTTGAGACCAGTAGAAGTATAAAACAAGTTATTTCTCCTCTCCAATAGACCTATGGAATGTTGCTCATCCATAGGGTGTTGATTGTCATTCTCAAGGGGTGGGGTAGAAAGGAATGGGATGACCTGCTAGAGGGGTGCGTGATTGGCTGGCTGGAATTATGTGCAGTGATTCATTGGGTCTATAAGAAGTGAGAGGATCTTTCAGGTATTCTGGTCCCAAGCTGCATAGGGCTTTATATACTCAAATGAGCACTCTGATCTTAGCCCAGGAGCTAAGTATGCTGTTACCAAGCCTGGGAAACACTGTGGAGAGTGGATAACAGTTGTCTTAGATACTGCCAAGCTAATGGCTATCTGCCCCAGCATTGTTTATCATGAGTGACAATACTTCTATAGGATTCCAAGGGAATGCTTCCACCAGACATCCTTCAAATACAAATTCATGAAATTTGTATCTGGGACCTTCTTCATGAAATTTGCATGCTTTACTGCTATTTTTACTTGCAACCTATTCTACTGAAGCAAATGATAGATAAATAGCCACAAATAAGCTTGGTATATCTGAATATTGTTTTGGGTGGAATTGGATGAAATCTGCAGGCAAGGTCATCCCTCCTCAGCACCTAAATCCTGCCAAATTTCAGCAGGATGGCTGCAGTGGTTTTCCTGCAAGTGCAGCCTTTATATTTTCAGGGTGCTTTTTTTTTAAAAAAAAGGATTTTATTACCCTCCCTTGGTATTTTACGGACAATTGGTTAAAAACTGCAGGTGCACACGAGAGAAGCCCCTGTGTAAGAAACCTGAAAAATGGCAAACAAATAGGTCCAGAGGCATTTGTGCTATGCAGTTACAAGCTTGGCATGTCAGTCACAGCACAATTCTCCTTCCACCACTTCCCTCTGAAACCTGGCATCTTCCTTAAGCTTAGAGGAGACAAATAAATGATTCGCTCTTGAAAAGCTGATCCTTCCTCCAAAGCACTGGAATAGGAGAGTGCTGATAAAATCATTTCCTCTGATTACATACTAGACCTTGCAGGTGAGTTGGAAGTCCCCCCCCCCCCGAACCTGATGTTTTCCTTAAGCTAGAGGTGTAAGTTTCCATTTCGCAAAGCTTCCCCCCCCCCCCCCCGCATCATGGCATTAGCAGTAAAGCTTAGAAACATAGTTTTCCTTCTCATAAATATTTGTCTGCAGCATTTTTTATTTGATGCCTAGATTGCTGAGGCACATAATAAAGTGCTTTGTAGATCCCTCTGCAGCACCCATCGCAGCCAGTTACTTGGGATTTGTACAAATAATTTGCACATCTCCATCATGAGCACACCTAGTCCACGTGAATTCTATAAGGATGTATACCGATTGGGTGAACATAACTACATGCCTTACACCAAGGGTAGCTGTGGCGATCACACAGGGTCCCCGGACGTTTGACGGTCTATTGATCCCTGTGCCACCACTGTGATTGCCTCTTCGCTGCCACCAACCTGTTGCTCTCGGGTACACACAGAGTCCAGACAGCTGTTAACATTAACAAATAATCCAAGTTTATTTTATAGGCATGAACAAGCTTATGGTTTCAGTTATTTTTTCTTGGCAGTTTCTTAGTCTTAGTTTATTTACTGACCTATATGTTCCTAACAACTTCAAACTGATTATCCTAACTATCTATCTGACTCTACCTAACAGTTCCCCTCACTCTCACCACACAACTCGACCAACCCACAGACTTATATCCTCCCTCTTTCTTCTCCAACTCCCAACTCTCAACTGACTTCCACACAACTCCTACTCTCACTCTAACTCCTATCAGTTTCCACTGGCCAATCACGTCACACTCATTTAACCCTTTCCTTATGACCCACCTAGGAGGCAAACGCCACAGTAGCCAACTCCCAAGAGACTGTGATCTACTCACAAAGACTGGCAGTTATCTACCCCCTTTTTGGGGGTTCAGGTCAAACTTGTTGAGCTTCTTTTAGGGAGGAGGGAATGCCTGCTTTTTGGGGGTGAAGGGCCAAAATGTTGAGCTTTTCTTAGGGGAGCCAAAGTTGTCCAGCTTCTTTGGTGGGAGCCACTGATTTGCCAGTGATCTACCACAGACATCCAGTGACCTACTGGTAGATCACGATCTACCTGTTGGACATGCCTGCCTTACACCAAATCAGACCATTGGCCCCCACCAAGTTCTGTATTTCCGACACAGCCTGGCAGGGTTTCAGGCAGGGGTTTTTCCCCAGGCCTACCTGGAGATACTGGGGATTGAACCTGGGACTTTCTGCATGCAAAGCAAATGCTCTCCACCACTCAGCTACAGCCCTTTCCCACTTGTGCATTAATGTAAAACCAAGCACTGTTATTTATATCTCACAGGTGTCATTATTTATATCTTTGGTGGAGGGGGCATGCTTGCTCCTCCACTATGTCAGAATAGTGCTGGTTCAGTAAAGTCTGTGAACTGGATTTTTGTTTATTGACATCTCCCTCTCTTTTTCTTTCTTTTTTCTTAAAAAAATGGTTTTCTTTCCTTCCATTATAACAAGTATCAAGTTCTGGACAAAACAAGATTAGCTGTAAAACTTTGGGGAGGAGATAGAATGCAGTTGTGAATAACTGTACAAAGGTTAATATGGATGAGCTTGGAGGATCATTTACTGTAGCATCTAAAATTAAAAAGAGAAAGAGAGTGTCTAAGCTGTTCTGGTATCTGTGTAACCTAATCAGCTGCTCTTTATCCATGAATTGTTGTTTAATTAACATACTGTACAATAAATGTCTTCTTACATCTAAATTAAGTGCTTATTTGAGAAGCTTAATTTGCAGTGTTACTTTTAGATTACTGATCACCCATAAATCATCTGACAGTATCTTTCCCTCCTATAATCACAAAATTATTTTTATGGGTATAGACTAAGCAGAACAGATGATAGATGGATGTGAAGAGTAGAAAGAGATTCCAGGTGGTAATGGAAAATAAATTAATAGCTGTATTCCATACTCTAGTGATTCTCCTTTGAGATGTGGTTTCTTATCCAATTTCCACTAACATTTAAAAAATTGCTATTCTGCTCTGGTGGCTATAAAATGTCAAGTAATATATTTGAAAGTTTAAGATTAGTTTTTGCACAATGAACTGGGGGTGAGAGAGAGTGCTCCATTTGGAGATTTGTAATAAATATCTTTAAAAAAAAATAGTAGCATCCGTGACTAATCTACAGATATTTCATATTAGCATATTACTTTTGTTCTTAGGCTTTACATGTAAATTTTGGAAGAGGGAATAAAAACCAATTTTTTGACTGACATACTGTAGTGTGTAACCACCCAATGCAACTTGGATACAATTACAGCTTGGGGAAAATTCAAGTGCCCTTCAGTTTTAGCAGGGCTTGGAGGATTTTACAGAAAAGTAAAATATGTGTACTGTTTCAAATTCTTGCCATACTTACATACAGTGTGCCTTTCTTTAGCATGCTGTTATACACTCTCTGGCTTATATATAATAAGAATGCTAAACTAGCCATGATACAGCAATTTGTCTGGGGGCTGCTGTTGTAAATCCCTCATTTACACGCTAGTCCTCAAATGTACACTTGGATGTCTATCCCATTGCTTCCTGCACAATCTTTACCTCCATGTCTGCCTGTCTTAGAGAGTGACTTTGTAATGGATTCTCATTGGATTTTTAAGGTGATGCAGTAGCCCAGAGGGAGAACATTTATTTTACATGCAAAAAGTCCCAGGTTCAGTCCTTGGCATCTCCAGTTAGGGCTGTGAAAGAACCCTGCCTGGAGAACTACTGCCAACCAGTGTAGCTTGATGGAACAATAATCTGGTTGTATCCAATGCTAGCTCTAACTTTGTTGGACACAATCTTATGTCCCAGATGTTACTCCATAAAGGACAGTGCATCCTCAGTGGTACAACATCTGCATTGCCTGCAGAATGTCTCAGGTTCAAACTCCACCACTTCTGCCTTAAACTCTGGAGAGCTGCTGTCAGTCTTTGTAGACAATACTGAGCTAAATGGAACGATGGTTTGATTTGGTATATTGAAGCTTCCTATGGTTCTATTGAAAATGACACATTCCAAAGCTTTGTGGAGTTCTAATAATCATCCATGGTTTTCCCAGTACATGGTTTTCCCAGTACTACATGGTTTTCCCAGTAGTGATGTATGGAAGTGAGAGCTGGACCATAAAGAAGGCTGATTGCCAAAGAATTGATGCTTTTGAATTATGGTGCTGGAGGAGACTCTTGAGAGTCCCATGGACTGCAAGAAGATCAAACCTATCCATTCTGAAGGAAATCAGCCCTGAGTGCTCACTGGAAGGACAGATCGTGAAGTTGAGGCTCCAATACTTGGGCCACCTCAGGAGAAGAGAAGACTCCCTGGAGAAGACCCTGATGCTGGGAAAGATTGAGGGCATAAGGAGAAGGGGACGACAGAGGATAAGATGGTTGGACAGTGTTCTCGAAGCTACCAGCATGAGTTTGACCAAACTGCGGGAGGCAGTGGAAGACAGGTGTGCCTGGCGTGCTCTGGTCCAGGGGGTCACGAAGAGTCGGACACGACTGAACGACTAAACAACAACAACAATCATCATCATTGTGTGCTCTGCACAGTCCTCTACCTATATATAAATATCACCAATCAAGCTGATGGAAAGGGCCCTAGCTCAATAGCAGTCTAGAATGCATGTTTTGCATGTAGAAAGTCCCCAGCTTCTCCACCAAAGGGATTAGGTTGCAAGTGCCGCAAAAGACACTTAACATCCAAGAACCTGCTGCCAGTTAGAATATGTAGCCAGTTAGAATATGTAGACAAACCTGCATGTTGACTCAGTATTGCAGGAGTAGCCAATGTGGCATCATCCAGATGTTTTGGACCATAACACCCATCAGTCCTAGCCAACATAGTCAATGAGCAGGTGTCATGGGAATTGTGGTCCCCAACATTGGGAGAATGACACATTGGTTATCCCTGCCATATGTTGGTTTATCATAAAGCATCTCTGTAAACTGGCTACAACAAGAACACATGATCTATTAAAATAAAAAAAAGCTAAGGAAGGGCTGGTTCACAAGAGCCATTTCATCATTTTATGACTGCAGTGTCTGTCAGAACTTTCATATTGCCACAAATGCAGTGCTTTGGGGAACTATAAAGCTGTTATACCAGGTCAAACTTGCCCAATAACATCTATTCTGACTGGCAGTTCTCCAAGGTCTTGAACAGAAGTCTTTCCTATCACCTGCACCCTGATTCTTTTTTATTTAAAAGGAAGATTTCAGAGACTGCCCCTGGGATTTTCTGCATGCAAACAAGGTGCCCTACCATTGATCTATGGTCTCTACCTTCTCCTGAAGGAGTCATTTCACACATTCAGCAGTGAGCCATCAACCAGGTGATGCAAGGCACCATTCACAATCCATTTTCCCACTCAAGAGCCAATGGGCCATGAGCCCAGTGTGTGCTCTTGAAATGTTTCCATGGGGACACTGTTTGTACCATTCAATCATCTAGAAAACTAAAACCTAGGGTGTGGGTTTTTCTTATCAGGGAAGCTTGCAAAGGGAGATAGGAGATATGAGAAGTACACTATCAAATCCTTGGCCTTTCCTGAATTGTTGTCATAAGCAAAGGCCTTTATCAATGTACAGACTCCCTCCCACATATCTAATTTTTGTTCCCATCAGCACAGTTCAATTACCAACCAACCCATCATTCCATGTCTGCTTTATTGATACCTTGATGCTGGAATTCCAAGGAGAATAACAGGTTTCAGTGGTCTGAGTTCACAGGCAACATCCATGCAGCAGGAAATGGACTATGGAGGTCATACGTATATGGGGTGGCACTGGGGTATGGCTCTACATCTAGTTCATACTAGAGTTGTGCATACATGACACCTTGAAATTCTCCTTCCTGTTTGTGAGCAGAGAATCCAGGGGAACCATTTTACTAACATTGTCAAAGCAGACTGCACACCTCCTTTGTCCCCTGCCCACTATCTATCTATTTTTGCTGTCACTGCAACTTTGTTGGCAGGCTAGCCACCATTTTCTACCTTCCACAATGCCCTGGACCACCATTGTGGGGAAAAATGTTGGCCATCACAAATGTTGAAGAATATTTACAGAAGTGCAAAAGGGGCCTCAGTGGCTGAGAAAAAGAAATATCACACACAAAAAAGTATTCAGATAAAATTCTGCACAGTTGTAGCTCATACAGATTATACATCTGATTAGATTTGGTCATAATGAGAGTACTGAGAGTCTGAGGCTCATGCTCTGGTGATTACTACAGTCTTGTGCCAACTGCTGTCTCCTTTTCTTTTTGTTCTGAAGCATCAATTAGATTAAGATTTCATTCTTCCAGCTGCTTTTCCTTTAACATGTGGCATGGATATTTCTTCCTCGTTAAGTTAAATTTTATCTGTCCTCTCTATAATAGACACCTCAGTTGCTTCCTTTTTCAGTGAATGACTGGGAAGGTAGGAATGTATTGTGTCAATTGTATATAGAAGACTGGGCTAAATATTTTATTTAAGTGTGCGATTGCTGGAGTTATGAAGTGGATAGTCTTTTTTAAAAAGAAAGAAAGAAAGAAAGAAAGAAAGAAAGATGAAGATGGATATGAATATGAATATGACTACAGTATTTAAAACATTTTCCGGCTATTGCTAAGACAGTTGTGAAGTAGCTGTTTCCCTGTGACTCCTTCCCACTTCTCTACCTTTAGGAAGTCAAAACAATATGGTCAGGACCAGCCCATGCCTATATCCAAAAGCAGATGAGACCTCCTCTTTGGCTGTAGAAGACTCTACCACCAGCAATAGGACACTAGGACCAAGGATATGCCTTTGTTTGTGCCCTGAGGCTGTCTCCTTGAAATATGCCCTATCCTGGTGATAGAGGCCCAAAAGCTTAGCTCCAATCCCTCTACCATTAGTTCCAGGACCATAGGAGCAGAGAGAGTGATGACACTGCATCAGAATGAAAGTAGCAGCATAGTTCATGAAGCACTAAATATTCTATCCACGAGTCCTTCTCAGGAGGTAGCAAGGTTCATACTCTGTATGAGGAAGAGGTGAGACAGCAGGGGCAATTATAGCTATTCACTTGTTGCACACAACCTCCATCTTAGACAGCTTCTCAGCTGTTTCAGTACCCCTTGCCTTGGAACCTAGTGTTGCCCTGGTGGACATCTCTTTAGCCTTTCCACACCATTAAGGGATGGAAGTAATCAGACATGTACATGAAGAGTGACAATGGTTTACATTTGAGAGCTCGTAGAACTGTGCTTGTAACAAATGGAAGCCATTTTCTCTGGTGTTTAATATCTTTTGTATTTCATGGCTGTTTGTTATTGTGATCAAGGTATACTGAATAACCTTCTCACAGCTAGTAAGGAGGCATCCCCATGGTCAGGTGTGTCTAAGAGTACGGGGGAAATAAGATAACCAACTTACTTCCCACATTAAATTCCACTTATAAGAATCTCTCCAACTACCCAGTCTCTAGGAAGAGCTCTTCAGGGGATGTGAGAAGGCTGCAGTAGAAACAGGAGCTCTAATTGTCCCACTGTGCACACAGCCCTTTAGATCCTATTGGTAAATAGTTATTTCCTCTTATCTCTATTATCTTCTTGGCTCTAGCAAGACCATTTGCTGTTGCACAGGCATGCTTTAGGAACCATGATAAAGAGATGGTAGAGTTCTTGCGGTCATAGAATGGGCTGTATGACTACAGACTGCAGCTGGAAGATTACATTTTTGAATATTTCTTTGCATTTTAAAAACCCTCTTTGCAAGTAGAAAACTGCTGTCTCAGACCAGGGAGTGGGATGAGCCAGAAACATTCCCCCCTGGAATGCAGAAAGCTCCCTTAAACCAAACCATTAGTCCATCAAGGTTAGTGTTCCCATTATAATGACTAGTTAAACCATAGGGGTTTTTTTCTGGGAGATGATGTATTTTTCCATGGAATCTTACCCTGTCATAAGAGCCTCTGTAATAAAGCCTTGGAGAAATGATTACTCATGTCATCACATGCAAAACCCAAAGAGAGTTGTAAGATTCAAATTTTGAAGATACCTTTAATGCTGTTTTGTTTCTTTTATCCATGGACCCTGGAGCAAAATCTTTACTATCCCTGATTGAAATTGGGTGAAATTGATGAGCGCCGCAACCCCGGAGTCGTCCACGACTGGACTTAACGGTCAGGGGTCCCTTTACCTTTAAGTATAAAAAAAGCTGTTATTGCTTTAGAAAATGCAAGGAATAGAGCACCCGCTTTAAATATACAGGTACCATACACAAGACAACCAAACAATGCCTGAACTTTTCTTCAACTTGAAAACTGGTTATTGCTTCCAGTCAAAAACAATCTTTCCCAGAGTTTGCCACGTTACAAACAGGCTCTCTAGGCAATGATAAGGGAGGTGGAAAGCAGGGTTTCTGATCCAATTTTTTTTATTGATAATCTGTGAACCGGATATAAACAAGAAACTCATCATTAATTTTTATTTTTCATGAGCTCACTAAGGTGACCATTTCCCTACCTGCAAATTTCTCATTTTAATCCTGACAACTTGCCTGAAAGAAAGTGCCTACTGCCCATTACATTCACCGTTCAGAGGATTTAAAACTCCAGAGGGCCCTGTTAAATTCCACTTTATGTTGGCATAAGTAGCTGCAATTGTGTCAGTAATTTACATTTAGGGAGAGTTGAAGTCCTTTTTTCCCTCTCTGTCCTTGAAATGATAAAGCTGCTTAGTCAGTGTAGAAAATTCAGCTAGGCTAATGCTTTTTCTCTCTCCCTCCTCTTGCTTCTGTGAGATTGTCTGCATTTTTTTCTTAATGATCAAATCAAGACTGCGGACTCAGTCCTAGGCTGCAATTACTGGGGTTTTCTTGAGGAAGGCACTGTAGGTGATGTGTCCTTGGTGATGACTCCCTCAATAAATGTAAATGTCAAGGGTATGAATTGCAGTGGTATGAACTGATCACTATGGAACAGCAATGCCAATTTATGAACAGGCTTCTTTGAATTACTGTTATTGTTACTACTCCTATTACTGTTATTATTATTCTGTCAATATCAACAGCATCAGTTTATGCCACCTATCCAACCAAATTATCTGGGCAGTTTGCAATTAAAACATTAAAATAAAATAAATCACAAAAGCAAAAACTCAAGCTCACTACCCCACCCCACCCCCAGCCTAAAAGGTAAGGGTAAAGGGACCCCTGACAGTTACGTCCAGTCACAGACGACTCTGGGGTTGCAGCGCTCATCTCACTTTACTGGCCGAGGGAGCTGATGTTTGTCTGCAGACAGTTTTTCCGGGTCATGTGGCCAGCGTGACTAAGCCGCTTCTGGCGAAACCAGAGCAGCGCACGGAAACGCCGTTTACCTTCCTGCCGGAGTGGTACCTATTTATCTACTTGCACTTTGACGTGCTTTCGAACTGCTAGGTTGGCAGGAGCTGGGTCCGAGCAACAGGAGCTCACCCCGTTGCAGGGATTCGAACTGCCGACCTTCCGATTGGCAAGCCCTAGGCTCAGTGGTTTAGACTCAGCGCCACCCACGTCCCTACCCCCAACCTAAAATAAGCATAAAATATGTAGCAACAGAGAACTCACATGGAGCAGAGATCATGGCTACAATGCCATTAGACATCATAAGACAGATCCAGAGAAAGGCAATGTGATATTTGACAAAGACAGCTCTTTAACAGCAAGGTTTTCGGAAGACTCCAGGGTCACCACTGAAAACCCAACTCACGTAGTCTATGTGACACCCTCCCCCCCCCCAATGTTCTTGGACTCCACTTCTACTCATTCCTTAACAGTGACCATGTTAGCTTGGGCTGACGGGAATTATTGTCTAAGAACATCTGGTGGGGATCACATTGGCTCCCTCTGCTCTAAGACAATGGCATACCATGGATTATTTTATTTCACTTTCAATTTCCAAAGGTCTTGGGACCTCCAGATCAACTGAATATGGGCAGTTTACTGCCAAATGGGCTGTGTGTTTGCAAAAAAATTCCAATTTGCATCCCAAATTAATGTGCAGCTCTGAACATAATGACTGACAAAATAATTGGCAAAGAACAGAAAAGAATGCATTTCAAAATTCAGCACTGAATGATACTTTCTAAAAACTTGTGTGGGTTAAAATACAGACAATGTCAAAAACTGAATGTCAAAGCACAGTTTGGAATGCTGTCTTTGGAAACATGTTGTAAAACTTTTTCACTTTCTTTGGAATGTCTAAAATAGCTGAGGCACTTTGGAGCACAATCTTATATGTATCTACCGAGATTTATTTTTGTGCTGTTTTATTAAAATATGTATATGCCATTTGTTATACAGACATCTCATTTTGGCATTCACTAATATCAGAAAATATAACACAAATGGAAATCATTAAAATGCAGTAAAATTCCTAATTAAAAAAATCCTGAAAATATTATGAAGGTAGCCATCAGTAGCCAGGAAAAGCCATGGTAAACAAAGGGTTGTATTCAAATAAGTTATTCTCAGTGTAGGGTCATTGAAATTAATGGGTCTAAGTTACTGATGCCCATTATTTTCATTGTGTCTACTCTGAGTAGGTCTAACATTGGATAAAGCCCAAATACAATTTCAGCATGTGTCAATGTAAGTCCCAGTGAATTCAATACAGCTTACTTGTAGGTAAGTGTGTATAGAATTAGAATCTCATCTCCCTAGATTCATTAACACTTATTGCAAATAAATAGCATGATATTTCCCAGTGTATTTTGGCTTCCTAAACTGGTCGCCTTGTCAATATTCCAACATGTATCCAGATGGCACTTCACATGACCTACTTCCTGTTTCTGGAGATTTTTCAGGATATTATGAATCAGAATCCGGACACATGTTGGATTTTTCACAAAACTCAATAAACTCTAATTTCCAGAAGAGTTAATCAGATTTAGGATTGCATCTCAATAACTAGTAAAGATTCCCTATTTGTTTTGGATATATAATAAGTTGGACCACTGTTCTGAAGCAGCTGGCCTGAGGGTGGGGGTTATTTTTTACTGACTTTTCCAACAGGATATGAAGATAAAATGTATGCAGAAGAAAACAGCAGATCAACATAAATTAACAAAGAGATCATGTCCCGTTGTGACAGAAAAAATATACAGCATGATCGAAGGAAATGAAGGTCATCATATAAGTTGAAACTATAAGGACAGAAAATGTATTTAGTCAAATGTGTCTTTCCAAGGAGATTGATGGCCTGATGTGTGTGCTAGAAAGACGTCAAGATTAATATATGATGCATAAGGAAACCAAACAGCAAGGCATGCTGTTTGACCAAGGCTCTAGAGAGCCAAGTCTGATGAGTCCATTTCTCTTGGAGAGCTAGGTGCTATGAGTGTTCCACTTCTGAAGCAATGCGGCTGAGCATTTTTAGACAGCTACTTAAAAAATTAATGTGTTTGTGCGAGAGAAGTGGGGAGATTGTCCTTTGTGAGTGACCTTCTCTTAGTTATTATTAAAAAAATTCTCCAATAAATCTTTAACAAATGCATGGCTCTTTTCCAGTTTAAATAGTTGCCCCATGTACACTTATTTGAGTAAATCCAACTTGGACCTAAACATGCAGAGGGTCAGTGATAAATTATGAATATCCAAGACCCATGATTCTCAAACTTACTGTGAGTAGCATTTCTCCTGCATATTCCCTCCCTTTCCAAAATTCTGCATGGTTTCTCCATGCAATACCATGGAGAAAATGGCCTGCCGGTTCAGATGACTGAGCTAGCCCCTCTATTTCAAATAAGAATTTATCCAGAGTAACAGTGTCTCTTTAATTTGTTGTCTGCGTGCACCTGATAATTTTGTGTGTGCATGCAATCTGAACAATCCATTCTAACATACATGTGAAATTCTTTTTCCTTGCACAAAAAAACCTATGAGATTTTACCTTCCAGCAACTGCTTTTTAAATTTATTCTGTGACATGTTTCATGTCATGTTATGTCAAGCTGCATCTGTCAAATCACATTAGATGATGTAACACTGTATGATGTGAATGAAACAACCTGACAAGATACATCACAATAAAGTACTTCACCTAGGACGTTGTGAATGAATGGCTACAGGCCATGGAGCGTCTTCAAGCACTTATTTTGCCTGTGGCAAGGAAAATTCAAGCTTTTCCATTAAACAAAAAAACAAAACCATTTACTTTGTGAATTGAGTACTGCTCTTTGTGTCGTAAGACTCTTGCTTGACTTTTATACTTATTCGGCATTTTTTATGAGAATTCCAATGTGAAATATTCAGCCCTAGTTCACGAGAACCCTTCCTGTAGCCTATTCTCCACTGTAGTCTATTTGCTTTGTTCTCTCCTGCAATAGCTTGCTTCTTGCAAGTTGACATGGAGCTATATCTAAATACTTAGACTTTCAAAGAAAAAAGATATGCAAGTATCTAGGGAGAGTTCTAGACAATGTTAGTTCTGATGGTTCTTTTAAATCAGGTTCCCCCAGTCTTTTGGAGCTCATGGGCCCACTTTGCTCATGGCTCCACTCAACATCTGAAAATGATCTTCAGAAGGTTGCCCAGAATAGAATATGGCTCTTGTGTTGAGAGGCCACCTCTGCTCTAAAACTGTTTTAAACAGTTACATATCCTCTTAGCTAATCATTTCAAAGTTGGAAGAAAACAGTTTCTTTCAGCTATCAAATGCCTGGGTGAACAGGAATGTTTTACAATTCTTGCTGAAAGTTAGCAATCGATTGCACCTCACCAAGGAAGGCATTCCATTACTGGGGAACTAATAACAAGAAGGCTCTGTCAGAAGGCCAAAAAAGCGAAGTACAGTGGTAACACGGGTTACATACGCTTCAGGTTACAGACACCGCTAACCCAGAAATAGTGCTTCAGGTTAAGAACTTTGCCTCAGGATGAGTACAGAAATCGCGCTGCAGTGGGGTGGCGGCAGCGGGAGGCTTATAATAAAAGAGAATGTGGCAGACACTGGCACTGCATCATATTTTTAGCGGGGCTCTTTTGTGTCTGGTCAGACTGAGCGTGCCGCTAAAGAACACTCCTTTCCTCTGCCACTAGGTTTCTTGGTTTCTGTTCTCCCAATTTCTCATTTTTTTCAATCTTAAATTCAGCAATTTGCATTTTTTTATTTAAAGAAAGAACTTTAAGAGGAACCTTTTAATATCCAATTTTGACTAATATGCACAGTTTTGTAGACCATTATATATTGCACTCCCCATTTTATATTGCATGACCGTGTACATGCGCCGCACCGGGAAATAAACAAATAATTTGATTCAAACCTGGAAATGGCAGGAGAGAGCTGAAGAGTCCTTGTGCCTCAAAATGAGACCCTCCCCTGAGCCCAAAGAGAACTTTGGTGAGGGTGGAGGAAGCCCCAAAGATACAGGAGGCACAGCCAGACTTTAACAACAGCTGAGACATACAGTGGCACATCAACAGATGCCACTTTCCTATGCATCCTCCAGTCTCCTTCCAGCCCCAGAGTTTCAATTCTAGTTGTGGATATTTTTGGATACCATATTTTTGGTCTGGATTAGAGAGAGAGCAGGAGAAGGCATTTAAAGGGTGTTTAGAGGGTGCTCCCCACTTACACAATTTTGACTTACACACACAGGGGCGTAGGATGTAACCACCATGCATTTTTTTTGGGGGGGGGGATTGACTGCATATGCCTATTTATGCATACTTTATCCTAGTAGGTGTGCTTTTGTACTCATTACTTAGCTGGAGAACTGCCTTGCAAAATTCAGAAAAGCGTGAATTTCAAAGAGCGGCTGTATTTCAATTTGCATATTGTTTCGGAAATTGTGAATTTGGTATGATTGCTTTAAAAAGTAAACTCCATTGATTTCCTTCCCAGTCTCCATACAGCATAACTCTCAACAGTAACTACTCCTTGATTTTTTTCCCCCCACCCTGCATTTCATACTTCTTCAGTTTGGCCATAAATAATTTAAGGAAGGAAGGATGAAACTCGGCTTCAACATCTTGCTGGCTTTTCTTTGCCATCATGCTGGGGCGGGAGGGAGGTTTGAAGAATTTTTATTTGTATTCTAAATGTCTCTCTGACTCCAGTTCTTATTTGGCTGTCTGTCTTTGCAGCAGCATGTAAATAACAAAATGCATTACTGTAATATAAACTTAGGGAAGAGAGGATGAAATATTTTGGGTAATAAAATTAAATCCTCTTTGCCACTTCCATTGTATCCAGCTAGTGCTGGAGAGTGCAATAGAAGGGAAGAGATATCTAAAGCTGAAAACACTGTATTTAGCTTTTAAGAAGTGCCAAATGGAAGCCTATAAAGTCCTCGGTTATATCAAGGGTTCCTTTTGTGCTGCTTGACGTGCAAATCTGCACAAATTAACGGAGTAGATTTTTAAGTTTACATATTTTGGAATCTTGGAATTATTAAAATAGTTAGATTGATTTACACTTGGAAATATTCAATAAAGAAAAGCCTGAAGGCTATTAAAAATAATAATAATCTCCAGCTGTTGTCCTGTCATTTTGCTTTATATGAAAACAAATGACTAGACAAATGAACAAATTAATCCATCTTTCTCCAATAACAGGCAATCTGGTGTGCGTATGTGCTTTAAATCATGCAATTGCTTTTTATTAAGTTGAAAAGGAAATAAACTACGTCTAATAAAGCATAGTGGAAAACTTACATAATTCACACAGGAAGCTGCTGCAGCAGTATACTAATGAGACTTATGGTGCAATCATTTGCAGGTTTGCTCAGAAGTAACACCTACTGTGTTCCCTGGAGTTTACTCCTTAGTAAGTAGGCTTAGGACTGCAGCCTAGCATTGCAGTACTGTACAGACTTCCCTGGAAGTACAGTGGTACCTCGGGTTACAGACGCTTCAGATTACGCATTTCCAGGTTGCGTACTGTGCCGAACCTGGAAGTACCAGAACAGGTTACTTCCGGGCTTCGGCACTCGCGCATGCACAGAAGCGCTAAATTGCACTTTGCGCATGTGCAGAAGCACCGAACCACAACCCACGTGTGCGCAGATGCGGCGCTGTGGGTTGCAAATGCTGCGGTTTGCGAACATGCCTCCCATACGGATCACATTCGCAACCCGAGGTTCCATTGTAAGTCCTTTTGAATGTTATTGAGCTTATGTATGAGTAGATTACTGGTATACTCTTACAGTTTTGTAGTGCTATAGTGTTTAATGCAAAAGACCATGGCTCAGTGGTAGAGGATCTGCTTTGCGTGCAGAGAGTTCCAGTTCAATACATGGCATCTCTAGATAGGGCTCGGAAAGACCATGTCATGGAAATCTGGAGAGCCACTCCCAATCAGTGCAGATAATCCTGAGCTAGATGGATCACTGGTCAGTGCAAGCCCACTTCCTAGGTTCCTATAATACTTGTGGCAAGGGACGTGGGTGGCGCTGTGGGTTAAACCACAGAGCCTAGGACTTGCCGATCAGAAGGTCGGCGGTTCGAATCCCCGCGACGGGGTGAGCTCCCGTTGCTCAGTCCCTGCTCCTGCCAACCTAGCAGTTCGAAAGCACGTCAAAGTGCAAGTAGATAAATAGGTACCACTCTGGCGGGAAGGTAAACGGCGTTTCTGTGCACTGCTCTGGTTCGCCAGAAGCGGCTTAGTCATGCCGGCCACATGACCCGGAAGCTGTACGCCGGCTCCCTCGGCAAATAAAGCGAGATGAGCGCCGCAACCCCAAAGTCGTTCACGACTGGACCTAATGGTCAGGGGTCCCTTTACCTTTATAATACTTGTGGCAGAGAAAATATTGCAAAACATAAAAGTAAAAATGAGTGGACAGTGTTTAGGACACTGCCCTCCCCACAAGGCCTTGCAGCTATCTCAACCACTTCCTAAGTGGCTCAGAAGTTAGTAAGATGTGTCTTCAACTGCTATCCACAACATACAAAGATAAAAGCAAACAATAAGAACAAAATAATATAAGTCCAACACAAAGTGCTTTTGATAATAAAGTCCAAAGACAAATAAGAATACAGAAGTGAATGAAATGGATACAATTATAAAATTATAAATGAGATATGAAAACAGCCTTACATTATACAATGAAAAAGACAATAAAAGACAGTAAGAAGGCATTGCACATTTAATAAATACCCCAAACAGAAGGATCCGTGCCAGTGCTAGTCATATGATTACATACCAAATTCTCTGAAATAACAATGACCATGACTTTATTGAACCAGTTATGTAGGGTACAGCATGAAGTGCCTTTCCAGCCCTGAGTAATGACTAATTGAATGGCTACAATACGATATGCAACTGTTTACATATAAGAGCTGCATTCCCTTTATTAAAAATAGAACACATAGTTTAGGGTCCAGAAGCAATCTTTTACCTGATTTTAGTAATTGCTTGTTTCCAATGCCTCTCCATAACTTTTCACCTGATGGGCAGTGCCATGTGATGCTGTGTGGGTGTGACCAGCTAGCCTTGCCCTGTTAAAAACACAGGGCAAGGCTGGTGCCAGATTCCATAGCTGGTGGAAGGAACAGATATTCCTGAGGGTAGGTGTGAACAGGGAGAGAGATCTAAACCCAATCTATATGTCCTACAGGGGTGAGTGAAGAGAGAATGGCATGGAGCTCCCAACAGAGAAAGAGGAGGGAAACTGCTGCACTCAGCTCCTCCTTCCAGGCTCCAAAACACCATCTGGCTGGCCACTGCGAGAAGAGGTTGCTGGACAAATGAACACTTGGCCTGATGCAACAGGGCTCTTCCTATGTGTTTAACTGTAGCAGGCAGAGAGATGAAGGCATGTGGGGAGGTGGGTGGGTGGAACATGGACAGCAGACATGACTCCATAGTAGCCAGATTAGGAGTCATAGCTATGACACTGCATAGTGGATCCAACCTAACAGTACTGAGTGAACCCGCTTCTCAGCCTAATAGAGGTCTTTTAAGATCCCATTTAATTTCCTGAACACTTGTTCTTTCTTTTTGTTAGGACTCCCTGTTCTTTCAGATGAAAGGGCTAGGTACCACTGGGATGACAAAGACCTGCTCACCTGGGGGCCACTACTGAATGAGACCCTGTAGTGCCAGTCTCCCAACAGCTAGAGAAACGGAGATCTGACTCTCCACACTCTCCTCCTCCTCTATTGACCCTCTCTAGAAATACAAAGTTTCTGTGGTATACAAGCAATGGAACTATAGCACAAAACTAAATCAGTTTTGAACAATTTACAAGAATCCTGCTGTTCACCCTTAAAAAAAGTATTGATATATACTCATTCAAGGTTTTTCTATGAAATTCCCTTTAATTAAATTCTCAGAGTAGCTTCAACTGAATGCTTGCAAAGATCCAAAGTTTTGTGCTCATTCAATCTGTATGCTTGCAAAAAAAAAAAAAAAAAAAAAAGGTGGGTGCAAAGGGCCCTCCATCACTGCAGCTCTTCCCCTTCTTTGCCACAAAGCTCAGAAATTCACCTTCAGGTAGTAGATGGAAATGAGGTTGTGTGATGTTCTCAGGACCCAGATGAGAGACTTTTCCTGCCATGGTTCTCTAAGGATCTTTGTCGCAGCAGAAATGAACATTTCCCGCCTCAGGAAGCAGTTGCCCTGGTCCCATCCCTGGTGAGAAAAAACAACACTGTTTGGGACTGACATCACTTCTGCTGTTTCCCCATGAAGCTTCAGGGCCTTGGGGAAGGGGGAGGTAGAGCCAGTATGGGATGATAGTTAGTGTACAGAACTAAATTGGAGGGGGTCAGAGGTCCAAATATCCACTTAGCCAGAAAGGTTGTTTGAGAGACCTTGGCCTAGCCTACCTTACAGGGTTGTTGTGAAGATAGCAGGGAGAGGCACCATGTACAAATCAAATAAGTAAAGGTGACCTGTTCTTCAGCATTGAAAAAATGTACTCACCCCTTTTGACTGGGTTGTAAGAGACTCAATTTCAAAGCCCCACTTAGCCATCTTTGAAACTCATCTTGTGCCAGTCAGTCTTGGACAAACCTACCTCCCAGAGTTGTGGTGACAAAATACATTAGAGACACTATCCTGAGCTTCATATAAAATGGGGATAATTAAAAACCTTATTTTGTTTTATTTACTTCACAAAATTTATATACAGCTTGATTGTAATAAAACCTCTAACATAATAATACATTGCTACTGTCATATACAAGACATCAAGTGAGATGGGTTTTCCCACCTCTGCTTCCTGAGGTCTTTCTTCTGATGGAATTGGAAAGTGAACCTCAGATTTTTACAGACTTACTGCAAATCATGTGCCAGAATGCTAAACTACACCCTCTGTTTCTCTCCAAGCCTAGGCAATAGACTTCCTTCTGAAGATTAGTACAATCTCTTCCTCTCTTTTTGCACTTCTGCCTTAAATAGACTTTTGAAAAGTGAATTGTGCTCTGGGCTGTCATGTGTGCCAACTGTGGAATATCCCGGCGTCTTCACATCTGTCAGCTCTTGCCAAGGATGCGTTAAGTGCCGTGATGAATTCTGGCAGCTGCCCACTAATATCATCAGCAAGTTTGTTTGCGGGGAAATAAGTGAAAAGATCCTTGACAAGTGACTGCAATTGCTTGGATCATTAGGCTACTTCATGCACAGATGGAATTGCAACGAAAATTAATAGAAGGTGGCAGGTTCTCGCTTTCCTCCTCCCTTCACCCCACACTTGGCAATCTTTAAGATGCCTTCTGAAGCTGCCTGGCTGAAGCAACTTACATCTGTGGCTTTTTGCTTTTGTGTTGTGGACCCAATTTTGCAGCTGGTTCAACAATAGACTGAGTGTGTCATATTTAAAATGAAGGGTGCTGAAAGCTTCTACCTTCATTCAGCTAGACACTTTGCTTTAAATCCCTGGTCCAGGGGTCTAATTTGGCCCAGCGGGGGTTCCAATTTGGCTCATGTGGCTTTTTCCCCACCAAATCATTTTCCTCATCTGAAGTCACATGTGAAATCAGGTGAGGGGCAGGTGGATACTCAGTTGCCAGTGTGCAGTCAGAAGGCTTAACATCCACTTCTGATTGTGCATTGGCAAGGAAGATTTTCTGTCACCCCCAATCAGCTGATTGGTGGTGAGGGTAAGCCAACTGGAATCGGCTGTGCTACTAACAATCCTGTGCAGGCCAATCCCAATAGCAGAGTTTGAAGTCAGCGCCTATCATTGTGAATTTTGAAGGATGGTTGTGTTTTGGGCTGTGCATTGTTTTGGGAAATGCAAATTAGATAGGTTTGCCTTTCAGTGTGAACTGAATCAAATGATGGTTCAGACTTGTTGCACTGAACTGAGAAAGATGCCAGAGTTAAGCACTGGCTCAAAAGTGAATGATGCTAATCCTTCTGTTCTTACACCACATTCCAGTGTGATACCATGAGTGCTACCCCAACAACAGTAGGCTTCCTGCTCAGAACATTACCACACATACACAAGTTTCTAGGTGCCAAACCAAAGATTTAAGAAGGTGCAAAGCCCTGCTAAATGTTGTTATTCTTCAGAAAATTCCACCAGAAGTCTTCAAATGGTTTACCTGTGAAGGAACACCAAAATCTTCTTCAAACTAAGGTTTGATTTCAATATGAAAGCTAGCTGAATGATAACCATAGTTGCTTTCAAACTGAAGGCCATGTAAGGAACATGTGATCATGTAGCCAATAATTTGGGGGAAATGAGAGTTGTAGTCTTTCAACATCTGGAGACATCCACAATTTCCCCTCATTTGGCCTAAAACAAGGGTAGCTAATATGGTGCCCTCCAAATATTGTTGGCCTGCAACTCATAATTCCCAGCCAGAATGACCAGTGTTCAGGTATGATGGGAGTTGTAGTCCAGTACATAGGCTACTGGTGAGTTTCATTTCCATACACATCTGGCATCACATTTGAAAATGAACCTTTGGTTTTAACAGGAGTTAGAGATACAGTTGTGAACAATAGATTTATCAGCAGTGATCAGTGATAGTAACCAAATGATATTTTCTTGTTTAGAAACAATAATACTCTTGAGTACCATGTGCTTGGATACAAAAGATCATGGATTGCTGCCATCTTTATCCCCAGCTTAAACCATCTGCTAGAAAATTCTAAGTCCCAGTATGGAATTAGTTTTTGTTAGGTTTAAAACCAGACCAGGGTCTAGTGATTCCATCCTATGAGACTTGTCATGATCCCCTTTATTCATCTTGCCCCAGCTGGCTTTCTAGCAAGTGTGTATGCTCTGGGACATGAGGACAGGAACAGTTGGTCCAAGTTATGAAACCAAGGTCAAGGCTAACATTCACTTCCCTTCTGAGTAAAACAGCAGCCGACTAAGCCTAAAATACATGTGTGAGGAAAGGCTGTTCATCAATTACAGTCGGTTAACTTTCTCTCTCTCTCTAGCAAGTCTTTGTAAAATTGACACTGCAATTGTCTGCAATTAAAATGCCAGCTGGAACAATAAAAATCTCAGGAGTGAAAATCAGTAGAGTCGATGGACAAAGTACAGCAGACATCTTAAAATTGAGAGGTTTTACTGCCTTATAAAACAAAGTGTACCATGTTGACTAATGCTCAGAATGTAGACACTAAAATCAGGCACTCGTTGACTGTCCCCTGTGAGTCACAAACATAAAAAGTGCAAACAGAAATGCCATCTCTGCTGTCCTTTGATAGTGGTTTCCCCTCTAAAATGAGAATTTTGAAGACCACTTTCATGGTAAGGGATGTGAAAATAAAGTAAAATCCTGGCTTCTAACTTCACCCATCTTGGGAAACTTGGTTTACGTGATAGAAAATGAAGGATGCAAACATCATTTATTGATTATTTATTTAGTAGACGGTTCTTTTAAGAAGCAAGAATCCACCTTTCCTCTTACAAGGTGTTTGGGCAAGCTTACGTTTAAATAAAAGTGAGACAAAAATACATTAAAATACTAATAACATATTAATAAAAGAAAAATGCCCACAACAAAAACAAATTATAAATGTGAAATGAAAAGCCCATCAAACAGAAGGTGAGCCAAATGATGAATCTGATCTTGGCAGTGAAAATCTGTACACAAAGGGCCAAATGGAATCACAGGCCACATCCACACCATACGTTTAAAGCATTATCATACCACTTTAATGGTAATGGGCTCCCCAAAGAATCATGGGAACTATGCTTTGTTAAATATGCTGAAAACTGTTAGGAGACCCCCATTCCTCTCACGGAACCAAATTCCCAGAGAATGCTAGGTATCGTTGTTGGTGAAGGACTCTGTGTGAGAGGCAGGGAAGGGAAGATCTCCCAGGGTGAGATGCTGGGAGAAGCAAAGCAATCTCCCAGGTGAAAGCTGGAAGGGTTCACATATTTTTATGTGGGACAAGAGTTAACATCTACCTGTGATAGAGGACTTTGCATTATTCCTTTCCTTTTTGTTTTTATTTTTCTTTAGATTGGTTCATTTTTTATTGTGATGTATTATGAAAATTCTTAATAATATCATATCATATCTGTCAGGGGTTCAGGGAGAGAGGCACAGGGTAGGCAGGAGATGGAGAGCGATGGGGATGAATTCCAAGCCAGCGAGGAAGAGGATGACAATGACTCAAGAGATTCCATGAGTCTTTCCAGCGAATCAGAGGATTCCCAGAAGGGGCGCCGGTGGTCAAGGCCAGGGAGCCCCAGGGGGACGTGTCAGGAGCAGGGGGCCAGCGGAGGATCCCAAAGTGGCAGCTGGGCGTCAGGACCAGCCTCCCCACCAGAGTGTCAGGGGAAGCAGCTCCGGCAGCAGAGAAAGGAGGGAGGTCAGAGCAAGCCGCCCTCCCGGAAGGGGAGGGGAGCAGTGAAGGGAGTAGTGTAACTGTCAAAAGGAAAGTTAGAGGTTTGGCGCGCGCGCTAGTTCAAATGTAGAGGCGCGCGGAAGTACAGGGAGCCCGGAGGAGGGGCCAGGTCCCAAAGCCCGCAGGAGGGGGAAGAGCAGTCTGATTCCGCGTCAGAGGAATCCAGGAGGGGCGAAACCCCAGCGGGCAGAAGGACCCTGCGGAAAAGGAAGGAGAGAAAGAGGTGGAGCAGCGCAAGCCTCTTAAATTGGTGCAGGGGAGGGACGGATTCAGAGGGGACTTCAGCGGTCTAAGCGTAATAGACGTAAGGCTGCGCGCCTAGGATGTCAAGCAAACAATGAACTGCAATAAACACTTTTGTATATAAGAAGACATAGGCGTTGGTCTTTTGTGAGCTGAGACTTGAGGCAGCCTTGACAATATCTATCTATCATCTATCTATCTATCTATCTATCTATCTATCATCATCTATCTATCTATCATCATCTATCTATCATCTATCTATCTATCATCTATCTATCTATCTATCTATCTATCTATCTATCTATCATCTATCATCTATTTAATGAGTTGAAGGAAGAACTTGGGACAGCTGGGCTTTCTAAAGATGGATGGCGTCTTCCCATCTCTCTCCCTCTTTTAGTATTGTTTTTCTGAATCATTCTTGTGTAAGGAAAGCCACAATAATTGTTTGTTCAGGCATGTACAGCTCTTCTAAGAACAGTTTCAGGTAACCAATTAGTTCATTTAATTACGTTTATACAGAGATCTGGCAAAGATCTCTGAAAACATTGTCACTGTGCCATGAAATACTTTGCCCTCTCTCACATAAAATAAACAAGTATTGGCTTACATTTAGTATTTAATTTCAACAACAGACAGCATAAGGCTGCCTAAAGAATCAAACTTCTTTAGATGGAATGGAGCACCTGCCAAATTTAATTTAGCGACTCTGCTGGCACACCTTCCTTTCCATTAAAACTACCTTTCAAAGCTGACCAGCCAAAAAACACATGCTATCTGAGATCTATAAAGCTGATCAAGGTATGTTAATTAAACACATAACAACATATTCGTTTGTTTTTAAAAGGGGGGGGTGAATCTAGATTTAATCATACTCAGAGTAGACCTAGTGAAATCAATGGGAATTAAGCCTATTGATTTTGCCGTACCTATTCAAATTATGACAAAGTCTGGATCCAGCCCAATAGTTATTTCTTTTCTTCAGATATAGAATGTCTGGAAGTCTAGTAATTCCAAAGCACCTTTTAAACACTGAATTGTGTTCAACTAAGTTTTGCTCTTAATAGACCCAATGGAATTAATGATCATGACGTTTTCCTGTCCAATAATTTCAATGGGTTTACTCTGAGTAAAACTTAGTTGACTGCAACCCACTCACTTTCAGTGGCATGCAGCTAAGTTCTATATTGCAAGTAACCTAACTTACCTATGTTCACTAATTTCAAAGTGTCTTTTCTCAGTAATGTGTAGTTGAATATCACATTTTGTGCAGAATAAACACATGTGGGGATGGCATTGTTGTAGTTTTGAAACAGACTTGTTTTATATTCTTATTTATTTATTTACAACGCTATATATACTTATGAAGAGAAAGAAGGAAAACGATATCCATCAACGTGGCAAATCCAAGCATGATTAATAAAACAAATACCTTCAATTAATTCATAAATTATATGCAGTGAAATTCCTTAACTCAAAGCCAACAACATATACACTGATTAAATAATTTCATTTTCTTTCCCAAGAAATTAGGAAGCTACAACTATTAATTATCAAACTATCATACTATTGTTGAAGGATTTGTTTTATATTTTAATTGTGGATGTTTAATGTTTTGAAGGAAATGTTCTATTGTGTGTCTTAATTATGTGTGGACATTTTCATATTTGATTTTATGTTTCTGAAATGATTAGAAATGATTTTGGCATGTAAGCAGTCAATAAAACAAACAATCAAATAACTGTGGTAGCAGGCTCCACATTTTGACTGGAACCTTTGGCCATCCAGATGTTGCTAAACCATAACTTCCATCAGCCCCAATAAGCATGGACATTGGCTAAGGATGGTGGGAGTTTTAGTGCAGCAACACCTGCAGTGCCTAAGGTCTCCTACACCTGCATTAGAACATAGGGTAGTCACTTAGAAATCAGCTGCTCAGCACTTATAGCAACTCTGCTGAGATCAGCTGCACTACAGAATTTCTCAGTATAGTGTATAGCTGGATGGCATTCAACTAATGCACAGAAGAAAAGTCCCTCAAACCTACATAGACAATCAGACCATGTGAGGTTCATGCCACTGGTTGCTAAGCAACATCCCCACCAGTCTTCCTCTTGGCTGGTTGGCTTTAACATTAACAAAACTAACCCTTAAGTCACAAACTGATCTATTCCTGCTGCTGCTTCCAACCCCACCTGCCTGTCAAAATCGCTTATGGAGTTGTGCATGCCAGAATGTGACCCGCTAGGGTAGATCTTATTCCCTATCTCTAAGTTATAGGGAAGACATTAGTTCTAATACAATTATAATTAGTCCAGTCACAAGGCTGGATAAAGGGGATATTGGAAGTTAATTAACTCAAAATACTGAGTCATTACAGACATTGAGGAAGGTCAATAGCTCAGAGATTGAGCATTTGCTTTGGATGTAGAAACTCCCATATTCTGCTTCTAGCATCTTCTGGTAGGGCAGTCTGAAAACTTGTAGAGCTGTGTGGACAATACTGAGCTAGATAGACCAACAGCCTGACTCACTATTAGGCACTAACATATCAATACAAGTTCCCCACCGTATGGTGGCAAGGTGGTTACAAGAATCACTGGCCAATGAGAACCCACTGCCTATTTAATGCGATGCCCCTCATGCGACGGGGGGGGGGCTGCATATTCCATATGGTACCTCCATTTGTGTTGTAGATAGGCACAACAAGAGTCAAACAAAGAGCCAGTACATATCAACCACCCTCTTTCCACCCATCTCACTGTACTCCAATTCAATGCAGACATGCAAAAGTCCCACTGAAATTAATGGGGCATAAATTAGTCAGAACTAATTGACTTCAATGGGATTTGACTGGATTTGGGCCAGGCTATTTTGTTATTATATGGAGGGTATTATCTGTGTGTGTTGATGTGCCTGTTTCCATATGTGTGAGGCCTGAAACAATTGTCATGGCCACCCTCCAAAGCTCAATAACTTTGCCCCCCCTCCCGGCCCCAAAAGAAAAGCTCAAAAACTTTTGTGAATTTTCACTTTTTGAAATATGGCAACCCTAGTCTACATGATTTGATCTATTCTGGTGCCATTTTGAGAGGGAACTTTGTTGTCAATGTAATAGACCTTTTTTCCTCCTTGCCCAGGAAACATACAGTGGTACCTCGGGTTAAGTACTTAATTCGTTCCGGAGGTCCGTTCTTAACCTGAAACTGTTCTTAACCTGAAGCACCACTTTAGCTAATGGGGCCTCCTGCTGCTGCCGCGCTGCCAGAGCACGATTTCTGTTCTCATCCTGAAGCAAAGTTCTTAACCCGAGGTATTATTTTTGGGTTAGCGGAGTCTGTAACCTGAAGCGTGTGTAACCTGAGGTACCACTGTATTGAATTTTGGCACAGCGAATGAGCTTTGCACTTTCTCCTTAAGTTAAGACCAGCATTGACACTCCATTTCTTCTCTTCTGATCACTTGAACTAGAAGAACCCATGTTATAAGCCTGTGTTAGGAGCCCTGCCAGACAGCTGCATATATCCCTTTTTAATAACCGGTTATGTTACCAACTCCTGTGTGAAGCATGAGTGAGTAATTGGCATTTAGCAGAAAACTCACCCGTTACACATTGTTCCTGCCAATAGCAAACTCAGGTGGTCAAGTGAAACTGTGCCACCTCAAAATAAGGCAGTGTTTTCTACATTCTTATGGGAGCCAAAATTATGTTTGCAAGCAAAATGTAAAATATTTTTAAAGCCACAGGCTGACAAGAACCTGTGTGTTTATGTGACATAGGAAAAACTGAAAGGGACATTAAAATAAAAGGGAATTAAATTGAAAGAGAATTAAAATAAAGGGGGGGAGGAGGAAAGGAAACTGGTTTGCTCAGGCCTCCTAATACAGGGCTGGGGAACCTTTCTAGCTGTCAACTTTCAGATTTGAAAATAAGGGGTCAGCAGCCTCAAAAGTAACGGATCTGCAGCCTCACCTGTCCCGGGGACAGTCTACGGGATATCTAACAATCCGGGATAGCACTGGGAAGCAGCGCTGGAATAAGGGAATTTCCCGCAAAAAAAGGGAAGGTTGACAGCTATGGCTGGAGGGCCATATTTATTTCTGCAGGCGGCAAAAACTGAAACAGGTGTGACTCTTACTTTTGTACAGTAGTTTGCTTTCTTGCCATGCAAAAATAAGTTTTCTACATGCCTTCACATTTGCATATCTTCATCCTCCAAATGGAAGAACAAGAGGCATTGCTGCAATTCACGCCAAAGCACTCAAGGAGGTGTAGAGCAGGACTGGTGAGAGATGCAGCCTGGGTAGGGGAGGTGTGGCCTGAGGAGGAGGGTAGGTCCTGAAGGCTGAATAGAGAGGCTTGGAAGGTCACATTTTGGCCCCCAAGCCTGAGGTTTTCCACCCCTGCCCTAATTGTAGATATCCTGGAAGTAGAATAGATCCTGGAAGTAGAAATAGACTGGGTATGATAAACTGGTCCAGACCTGGGCCTCTAGCATGACAGCAGGAAGAGTCTCAGAGGAGTAGAGGGAAATATGTGCTTTTCCACATCCTTCTATGAAGCTTGAACAGGCTTCTATTCCAGATGGGAAATTCAGCTTGGTTTGGATTTTAATGTGAGCTTATATCATTGACAGTTTCCAAAACAATATGCACAATGATCACATACCCTCCAACATTTCTCCGATGAAAATAGGGTCGTCTCATTCCATAATGATAATTTTACTATTTATACCCCGCAAATCTTACTGGGTTGCCCCAGCCGCTCTGGGCAGCTTCCAACATATATAAAAACATTTTTAAAAAACCTTCCTTATACAGGATTGCCTTCAGACTGCTTGGGGGTCAGATAACTCCATACCCTGCAACATTTCTCCAATAAAATAGGGACATCCTAAGGAAAAGTGCTAGCACACAGTGCAAGTAGATAAATATGTTCGCCAGAAGCAGCTTAGTCATGTTGGCCATATGACCTGGAAAAACTGTCTGCAACCCCAGAGTCGTTTGCGACTGGACTTAATTGTCAGGGGTCCCTTTACCCTTACCTTTAAGGAAAGGTGGGACATTATGGGATCAAATCAGAAACCAGGGCGGCTTCTCTAAATCAGGGACGTCCCTGGAAAATAGGGACACTTGGAGGGTCTGCAATCACAATTTCCAACTTCACATTTTACAAAATGCAGCCATACATTAAAAGATGCACTTCTCCAATTTCTGTGATGTGATTCTTCAGTTTAATAATAAATACAAAAATGTATACCAGGGTACAATTGTGCATAAAAACATGTTAAGTGAATAAGATACAAAAATGCATTACGCAGTGGATAATTGCTTGCAAAAATTTCCTTATCAGGCACAAATGTGTACAGAAATCTGCTTGTTAAAAGAACTTTGCAGTAAAATGCTGATGAATTTTCATGATAGCTTGAATGTTGGGTTGAAATAAACGACAGACGAGTGACAAGTGTCATATGGGAGGCATCTGCCGAGCATGTCTCGGCGAGTCCCTTTTATTGAATATTACAGCATTGCCACATATGTGCTTGTTGCTGATTGGTTAACACAAATACAATGCAAGGGCATTAATCATCAATAGATTAAAGTTTGGGAAAGGGAACACATGGTTAGACAGGTATGAAAACCTCCTTATTAAACTATTACTAGTGATTGATATTGCATGACTTAATAGATGTGGTCAACCATGCGTTAAGAACAGGTCAGGGTACGATGTTTCATGAACTCAATGTGAACTGGACATTCTAGGGTGGATGTGCAGAAGCAGAACTTCCCATCATCTCCCCCTTCCTTTTTTTTTTTTGTTTACGAGATGTTGCTATGTGATTTCAGGGTGGATGGGACAAAAATACTTCGGGATACGTGGTTTGCCCGCGCATGCCCGAAGTAAGTCTGCCCACATCTCCCCTATTATTTACTGTTGGTGTTGCCACTTCGCATAGTAGGCAGCAATGATTTTATTAGGTGGCTGAGGAGGAAAAAGAAACTGAGACCAAAGACGCATGAGACCAGGAATGCATTGGATGAAGCAGCATAGCAAAATTAATATACAAATTATGACAATAGCATATTGAAAAAGATTACAAAGCCAATTCAGGTTTGGCAACCAGCCAGTGAGCCACTGGGCGAACAAATCCCAGAGGCCAGAAAATCCAACGTCCTGTTTAATGTGATGTGTAAGATTTTGCAAATGAGAGATTTGCTTTTGAATGGCTTTAGAATTATCAGTAATATTGAAACAACATATGTCATTCACTTGTTCACAGCCATAATGACGAAGCATGAGCAAATAGTCAATGGCAGCACGATTTTATAGAAGTCCATGATGAAGTTCACTCTGTTCTTTATTCAAAAGGTGAAGAGCTTGTGAAGTAAAATTCAGAGCTTTTGCTGCGGAGCAAGCTAAAGAGTTAATGTTCATACTATTCCGTACAGCCAATCCAGGGACTCCTAAGAGAGAAACAGCTAAGGAAATATATTCAGATCTACTGGGAAGAGAAACAGAATCATCACAATCATTAGTCAATTCCACAGAGCGGCGATATCGAGAGCGGGACAAATGATGCTTTTTGGGTAAAATGATGGACAAACGGCTTAAACAGCAGGGTGTGCCATGGCTGATGTTTGCTGGAATATAGCCTGGGCACGACCAGAACCAGCCTTCAGGCAGCTCTGTATATTTATATACATTGCGGTAGGACTTTCCATTGATACCGTTCCGTGGGCTGGCTGTTATTTAACACAGGAACAGTGAAAGCAAAGAATTTATGATCCTTCTCCTGTAAAGGGATGGAGAAGAAGCAATCTTGCAAATCTATGTTAGCCAATTGATAAGAATGGGGGATTACATTCGGATTAGGCAGACCACACTGCAAAGGCCCCATGGGTTCAAGGATGTCATTAATCTTCCTTAAATCCTGGAGAAATCTCCATTTCCCACTTCTCTTTTTTATGACGGAGATGGGGGTGTTATAGGGGCTAACAGAGAATTCAATATGGTCTGCCAATAATTGTTCATTCACCAATTGTTTTAAAGCAAGCAGCTTTCCCCCTCTTATGGGCCATTGTTCCACCCATACAGGGGTGGCGGAGGTCCAGTTGAGGGGGAGTGCAAGCTTACTCATTAAATTGAATGGTAGCTTGTAATTGTAGTAGTAGATCTCTGCCCCACAGATTGAGGTGGATTTTCAGCACACAGGGCTGGATGTATGCAATGGTTTCAGAGCTATCAGGCAGAGAAACAGGCAACCACTGTACGCTTTTGGAAGAGGTTTGAGGTCCACCCACACCCCAAACTGCAGAGGCAGACTCAAGGGGCCATGTGGGGTCCCAGCAATTGCTGGATATGACAGAAATGTCTGCGCCCGTGTCAATCAAGCCTTCCAGAACTTTGCCATTGATTTTATACTTACGAAGAAGTTTCTGTTCACCAATCCTCTGGATTACAGCTAACAGCTGTGGAGAGAGGGGAGAGAACTGGTGCAAGTTACTATCCATAATAGAAGCAGTAGGATGAGAAGGGAGCACTACCAAATGGCCCAAGACGGCGGAGGGCTCTCTATTTGTCCTGGCCCGAGAGCTGGGCCCCTATGGAGTTTCCCGAATTCCTGCACTGATTTGCCCAATGATAGCCTTTTCCGCATTTTGGGCATTTTTTGGAAGGTTTAGCCTTATCGGCATCACCATTCCTGCTTGCTCCCCCGCCAGGGGCTCTGAATTGTTTAGCAAAATGACCTGGGCGTTTGCAATTGAAGCAATTGCCCGTGGGCTTATTGCCAGCCTGGATGGCACCGGCAAGCAAAGACATCGCGTGGCTCTGGCTGCCAACATCTGCACAGGTTTGAATCATATCGGCCAGGTCATATTTGGGGCGGTGTATGATTGACTGCAAAGCCTTCTTGCAATCGATGTTTGCATTTTCAAAGGCCAATTTTTTCATCAATTCATTTTGAGCTGTAGGGTCATCAATCTGCCTGGTGATTGATTCTTTCAATCTGTCTATAAATTGATGGTAAGGCTCCGAATGTTGTTGCTTAATATTAACGAAGGAGCTCAGTGGTTACCCTGAGACAGGGACTTTCCGAAAGGCACATTGTACACAGGTCGCGGTGCGACTGAAATGTAAAGGTGTCAATTGCGCCTGGGCTGGTATATTATCATACAGACCAGCGCCAAAGAGTTGGATGGCTGAATGCTGTGGATCAGCCAGGGCTGCTGCGCTATACTTAAATTCACTTTCAAAAACCACATACTGAGCAGGAGATAAAAGCATGCGCATCAAATCCTTCCAATCTTGAGGTAGCATTGTGTAACCATTTGCAATCTCCTCCAGCATCCCTAGCACATAAGAAGATTTGAGGCCAGAATCAGTAATGGCTTTCCTTAATTCTCTCAGAACAGAATAAGGAAGCGCCTCATACATAACCTGCTGTTGTGCAGTGCCGGGATTCGCATAGGAGATAGGGAAAGCAGATGGCATTTCCCCAGCCCATCCAGCCTCTTCCTCTAAGGAGAGGACCCCTTGCTGCCTAGCTTGAGAAAGCGCAGCGTGCACAGCTCCTGTGGGAGAGCACACAGGGGCTGAGGCAGGCGAAGGAGGGATGGGGGGGTGAATGTGGGCTGAGGCGTAGGGAGGGGTTGGCAAAGTTGCGATGGAGGCAGAAGCTTTGGGTAAGGTGGGGGATTGTCTGCTTCGGCTAAAAGAGCAGGGGCCAACGGAGATGCCTGTGGTCCTAATTTAGCGACGGCATCTGCACATTTCTGCCAGGTGAGCAGACAATGAATTGGAGCCCTCGGTTCTGTGAAGAGGGTTTTTCCGATCTTTTGCCAAGCTTCTGATCCCAGAGAGCCGGACTCTGGGTACCAGGGGCACTGGCAAGCAATCTCACATAACAATTGTTCAATTTCTTTCAAAGAAATATGAGCACCCGCCACCCGCTGTCTGACGAGATGGAGCAGCTCCTTGGCATGCTCCTGTTGGAACTTTGTAAGTCCCCCCCCCATTACTCACGAAGTAGCGCGCTGAGACTTTTCCAGTCGAGTGAAGTACAGGGGTCTGCGTAAAGGGATCTGGCACGTCGGGATCACGTTGGGGTCACCAGATGTTGGGTTGAAATAAACGACAGATGAGTGACAAGTGTCATATGGGAGGCATCTGCCGAGCATGTCTCGGCAAGTCCCTTTTATTGAATATTACAGCATTGCCACATATGTGCTTGTTGCTGATTGGTTAACACAAATACAATGCAAGGGCATTA